AGAATTTGAAGCAAAAACCGAATATGCCATCACAAAAGTTCGGACACGGGGACTCGGGGAGTCGAACCCCGATCTGCTTCCAACAATCTTGTATACCCCTATTACAAGATGTTGGGAGGCCGTGTACCGTACGCCATGTCCGAGCCCTCGCATCCCTACGAAAGGCATTGTGTAACTATTTTTCTGTAACACCCCAACCGGATTCCGAACCGGATTCAGCAGAAATTTGCATCACGGGCGTGTAAAAGGCCTAGGCTCAAGCTAGGCGGCCGGCCAAAAAAAAAAAAGAACGAGGGACCGAAAATTCGGACACGGGGAGTCGAAGCCCGGTCTGCCTCCAGCAATCGCCTTATTCAAGTGTATGTTGGGACGCCGTGTACCATACGCCATGTCCGATTCCTTTCACTCCTTTGAAGTTTGCTAGGTGAGCAATTCTTTTGGATCTGCCCACTCACATCGAGTAAAATATAGATGGAGCCTTGAATACCCCAAAGGGCTCAACCTCATTTAAGTAGGCTGCCCATGCATAATTTCTCGAAGAAATTTGTCTCTCAGTTTCTTGGGGATTTGAGCATATAGACTAGAATTGGAGCAAATAACGAATATGCCATCACAATAGCTCGGACACGGGGAGCCGAACCTCAATCTGCCTCCAACAATCTTGTCCACCGATGATGACATGTTGGGAGGCCACATACCATACACCATGTCCGATTAGTGCTGTTCAAAGTTGTTCCTACTTGAGCTCCTACTTGTTATTTCTCGGTCAAAAATGCACCTTTTTCTTTTGGGTATAATCTAGTCCATCTGAAATGTTATTCTGCACCCCCCAGTCAATTTTGAACCATATATATCAAGCCATTATTGTATGGCAAGGAGTAGGGGGTTTAAATGTGATGATTAGTAGGAGCTTAAAATGCGCAACTTTGAAACCCCTCCCAATTTGCGAGTAGGAGATTACATAATAAGGGAGAAAAAATGTTGCAAATTTTTCCGAGGTTTAAAAGGTCAAGGAGTTGGTTCTATAGGTCAGTGTATGTAGAGAAATGCTACAACTCGGTGAAAAAATATCGGGGTGAAGAGCAACAGTCAGTGAGAAGGAAATTCAAGTAGGAGAAATTTTTGGTGAAAATGACCTTGCGGGCTCATTTTGACAAAGAATGCCCATTTTTATACTTCTTTCCTGTCTTCCTCTTTGGAAAAGGAAAATGAAAAGGAGACCGAAAATGAGACGGAAATGAGACAAAAATGGGAACTTTGAACAACACTATTGTTTTCACTCATTGAAGCTCGGTAGGTTAGGAATTCTTTTTGGATCAGCGCACTCAGATGGAGTAAAATATTGACATGGATGGAGCCCTGGATACCCCAAAGCGTTTAACCTCACTTATGCTGCCCAAGGATAATTTCTCAAATATATTTGTCTCCGAGTCTCAGTATGAACATTGGATGTGGGATTTGAGCATATAGACTAAAATTGGAGCGAAACATGGATACACCCTCACAAACATTCGAACACGGGGAGTCGAACTCCGATCTGCCTTCAGGAACTGTGCTCCCGGCTTTCCAGAACAGGCTGAGAGGCCATGTACCGTGCACCATGCCCGACTGATTCTCTTCCCGACGAAGTTAACCGTGTTCTCGATTTTTTGGGTATTCCCAACAGGCATTAGCTCAGATTTTCCGAGAGGGGTGGCACCATGCCTTGAATTCTAGATTTTAACACGCCGGGAGGGTCACCAAAAAAAAAGATCAAACAAGGAAACATTGCAAACTCGTATACGGGAGTTGAGCCCCGCACCACCTCTAACCATCTTTTATCATCCAAAAGTCGTGGACCGTATACACCATGTCCGATCCCTTTCAGGCTTACGAAGTTAATAGTCCATTTGGGAGTTCGAAATACCGGAATACCGGTTCACTAGCGGTGTGATCGAGATCGTGGAAGATGCCGATCAACGGCACGACATGGGCCCCTGATGCAAACAGATATTCACAGGGCCTGAACTGCTTCCTCGAGGGTATCGGACAAGATATAATGGTGGATTTGACACGGGGCATGGTATATTAGTCTGATAATTCCCTAAAATACTAGTACTGTAACCTAGAACGATCGTAAATAGGTGTTTGCCTTGCCCACCAGTGACTCCACATACCATCCATTAGAGAAAATCTCATGGGAAATTGAGTGCAGAATTACCCTTTTATTGTTCAACATTGGTCCATCAGCAATACTATCTCTAAACATCTGCACAGACCAGGCTTCATCAGTCAGCGTGCGCATTGGGGACATTGAGGCTTGTGATGAAAGAGTGATGGATGTATGATCGTGAGTGAGGTAGCCAGGTCCCGGGTCAACTAACTTGAACTAAGGCCAGTAACCAATATAATCGTTGGAAAAATGTAGGTTCGGTACAAGCCCCGTTCTGACGAAGCCACGCGATGCCGAGCGAACAAATAGACCAAACATCAAAACAAATATGCCACGCGGGCTTTCGTCAGAAGGGGCTTGCTTCAAAGTCCGGAAATTCGGGGGGTTGACAATCGCCCTGTAGCGACCCAACACGGCCTCTGTGCTCTGGGGTCATTTGGGAGAAGTTTCAGTTTATCAACATGGCTATGACTTCGCTCGATGGTACATGGTAATACATTAAGAAATCATCAAGAAATCATCGAGTTCTGAGGGGTGCAAGAGGCGCGAAAACACCCTTTTTTTGTGAAGCCTTAGAAATATTTATTTTTCACCAGTTTTTTCAGATATTCCATTTGAGGCTGCCCGTTGCATATGGCTTTCAGAATCATGTACACTCAAGGCGATATGTGTCCTGTGCTTTGAGGTATTCGACATTTGCTCCTGAAATCAGTGCGCTGTCACACTCTGTGACCGCTGTTCCAGTGTCACGCAAAAGTAGAGTATTTACTCCCCAGCATATACGCCGTAATAAATTGTATTTTTGCCTTAGATAGAATCCTATGCATCTATACAGTAGCCTCTGTTCAGAATATGGGGTATCTTTGCATCAAAAAGACGGTTTAGCTGAGATTAAGTTGACTCACTCCTTGATGCCAATTCCGTCTGAACTAAGATTAAAGAGACGTTAAAACATCTTCAGGCTTCCAGCAATGCGTCCCAGGTTGTATTAATGGCACTTTATTGGTAGAAAAACTGTGTTCTTAGGCTAGGCAGCCAACTAATGTATGAACACTACAGGGTAGAAAGTCCAGATATTCAGACATTTTAAAACCCCAATTTTAACGTGTCGAAACGCGAATTTTATCTCATGGAACATGTTTTTGTGCTCCAAATGTGATTCCCCAGCCTGTTGGTTGAGTAAAAGACGCGTCGAGACTGTGATGTGGGATGTGACATGCCGTGACATCGAGCACTCACGACATCATAATACCTGCAGTTCAGTCATAAGTGCTCTATGAACTCCAAAAATATTCATGAGGCCTTTGGAGATGTATATGAACATTCTGTAACGCGAGGTCCAATCAGAAATACCATCTCCTGGACCTCCAGCAGATGAATTCTAAAGATATCCGAACTTTGGATCACCACACAGCTTTGGAGACAAAAACATATTCAGAAACCCGGGCAATTGTGCAGGAGCATGCCTCATGATATAATTCCGAATGTAAAAAATACAGCTAAGGGTTTGAGCCGATACTGAGCGAGCTAGAAAATGTTTTGCAAGTCCTTTGTTTGGCGGACTTTGAAGCAAGCCCCTTCAAGAAGGTCCCCCGGCGCGCCGGGCCGGAACTTCGCAGGCTTGTTCCGAACCTAGGAAAAATGGTGCACAGGAGAAGAGAGCGTTCGGAATTCAAAACTCCGATTGATGTGCCGCGTTGCCGCCGGTGTGCCGGTATTTCGAACTCCCGAATTTTGTGGAAGTTAATTAGGTTATAAATTTTTTGGAACATCCCAACTGGGTCCACTCGATTGCGAGAGCCCCCGAAGATATCTCAACCATGGTGCCGTGGGAATGGAACACGCAGGCTCAACCTAGGTCAAAAAAAAAAACGGAGCTAAGTAGAAATCAATCCGAACACGGGGAGTCGAACTCCGAGCAGCCTCCAACCTTTCACAGTTAATTACAGAAATAGAGGCGTCGTACCATACACCATGCTCGAGCTATTCCCTCGCCAACGAAGCTCATTGGGTTAGCAATTTTTGGAACAGTTTGAGCAGATCCAGTAAGAATGCATATGCTCGACATGCCCCATCAGATTCAACTTCACTTCACTTATGTATCCCGCCCATGTAAGCCGTTTATTGCCCGGGGCCGTTTATCAACTCGGAAACTTCTGCGAGCCCGGCATGACAAAAAGAAAAGGACTGAAAGCAAGGGCCATTCGAACACGGGGAGTCGAATCCCGGTCTGCCTCCAACAAGTGGCAATTCTTCCATAAGACAGGAGGCGGTGTCCCGTACACCATGTCCGATTCCTCGTACTGTTCAAAACCTCACTAGGCCGTAGCACTTTGCAACATTCCAGATGGACTACTACTTATCCACCAATTAAATTTGCGCAATTGTAACGCCCGATGCCCCAAAATATTCATCGCTACTAGCCATTAGTATGAGACCCCCATTGAACCTTTTTCCGCGTTAACGAGTGGGAGATTTCTGCGAGCCGGCCATTCCAAGTAAAAAGGAAAGAAGGCGACCATTCGGACACGGGGAGTCGAACCCCATTCTGCCTCCAACAATCTCATCTACAACCACATGTTGGGAAGCCGTGTACCATACACCATGTCCGACTGCTTTTACTCATTTGAAGCTCGCTAATAGGTAGCATTTTCTTTTTTTGGATCGGCGCACTCAGATCGAGTAAAATATAGATAGAGCCCTGGATACCCCAACGTGTTCAACCTCGCTTATGCTGCCATGGATAATTCCTCGAATATATTTGCCTCATACTTCTTGAGCATTGAATGTGGGGATTTGAGTCTATAGAGTAAAATTTGAACAAAAAATGCATGTACCAAACCATACAGTCGGACACGGGGAGTCGAACCCCAGTCTGCCTCCAACATAAAATCTTGTCACACATGACAAGAGGCGGTGTACCATACACCATGTCCGATTCCTCGTACTGTTACAAACCTCACTAGGCTGTAATACTTTGCAATATTCCAGTTAGACTATTCACCTGTGAATGCAGTTGCAAGACGCCCGATGCCCCCCCAAAGATATCCAGCCTCACTACTAGTATTATGTGACCCCATTGAACCTTTTACGCGCTCAAAAGGGGGATATTTCTGCGAGCCGGGCATTGCAAAAAAAAATGCAGAACATCCGACCATTCATTCGGACACGGGGAGTCGAACCCCGGTCTGCCTCCAACAATCTTAAGTGTGTGCCAACGATATGTTGGGAGGCCGTGTACCATACCCCATGTCCGATTCCTTCCACCTATTTGAAGCTCGCTAGGTAGCATTTTATTTTTTAGATCGGCCTACTTAGATGGAGTACGGAGCCTTGGATACCCCAAAGTGTTCAACCTCACTTATGCTGCCCATGGATAATTCTTCGAAGATGTTTATCTCTTAGTGCCCAAACTATGAACATTGGATGTGGGATTTGAGCATAGACGAGTTAGACCACAAAATGAATGCACCAACCCAAACAGTCGGACACGGTCCACGGGCAGCCGAACCCCGGACAACCTAGAGGTTCGATGCGCTGTAGAGATGGAGGTGGTGTATCTGTGGGTTGCTGAACGCTTGCCGAATTGAGTTAAATGTTAGGGTACACCATGCAACGCAAGACGAGTGGGATGCAAGAAGACGTTGCAGAAGGGATTCATTGAGAGTCCATTATAATTACATAGAGCCCGCCCACACATTATGGCAGATACAATACTCGCAGATAAGTTAAGTATCCATATCCCAAGCCAGCCGAATCCCACAGGCTAATCAACAAGGACCCGCGCTCCTCGAACGCAGACCCGCGATCCTTGAACCCGAACCTACATGGGATCGTCGAACCCGCGGCCGAACCCTGAATCGTCGAACCCGCTACCGAACCCGGGATGGCGCTTCACGCCCTGGGGGAAGGCGTCAGTCACCGGCTCGGATCATAGCGCCGTGCGGGGTTGGCTAAGTCAAGATATCATCGAGAGAAGGGGGGAAGAAAGAATGCAGACGAAGGAAGAAAGGAAGAACACAAATGGAAAAGACTCACATCAACGACAACGTAACAATGGTAAAACGTCCGAATTTCGGTTAGTTTATATCCACGTCGAACGAACCTTAGACCCAGCCTTAGGCAGAGAATTTAAAGATGTGTTGACGACGTCCTTGGCGCTATTGCGAACAGTGGCCGCAACGAGAGTTATCATTTTGGCCTCCAAACGGAGACGGAGAATCTGAGTGACATTCAACCTTGGGCGCAATCCACGGTATGGACATTGTTGCTGATTGATACCACCCAATGTGCGGAGCTTCGAGAGCTCAGGGCGTAAGGTGCGCAGGCTTTGCTGCATTGGAGACTTGCGCGCTAACTTGACTTTATAGATCTCGTTTGGCATGCGCGAGGCAAGAGCATGATCAGCAGCGCGTAAATCAGTCGCGCGGAGCTCACGGAGACACTGCCCGGGGTTCTAATGTGCGTGTTGATCGAATGTGTTGGCTATTGCGCGCTGACTTGACTTTGAAGTTATAAATCTGCTTCGATGTGCGCGAGCGACTGAATCAATCGCACGAGCGGCGCGCAAGTAAGTATGTGTTGTCCGGGTAGACTCGATATCGTGCACTTCTGACCTTCTATTTTCCTTTCCAGCGTGCGTTGCGGGTCTACTTGGGCGTTGCTCGGGCGGGGGTAAGGGAATTTTCAAGAATTTATTGGTCTCGTTAATGAATTTGGTACAGGATCGGTTACGCCGCGTGCAGGCGAGCTCGGGCAGCGTGCAGCGGGTGGAGGGTCGGATTGGATGGAGGGGATGAAGAGAGTACAGGATGGATCAGGCGTGGGTCGTTTAGAATGGTGTAATAGCACGTACCAGCGCACCAGCCTAATTAGTTCCAGTCCAGGTAAGCCCTTCTCCCCGCTTTGTACTTGCTGCTAACGAGATTCGCAGTGCGTGAATGAGATCCAAGAGGGGTCCGTGTGAGCGCTGAAGTCGGGTGGGATAGGCAAGGAATGAGCGGGGAAGATATGCGTGCACGGACACGCACCTGGGGTCCGGTCCCGCAGAAGCACCACCACCAACGCCCTATAAATCGGCACCCCCACGCCCGCCAACATCTCTCTCAACAGCTCCTTCTCCGCCTTCCTATCTGGCGAAGAAAGCACGGGCGGGGCGAGCAGCGCGCCGATGCGGCGGAAGGGCGTGAGGATGCGGTGTGTAGTCGTCGGTAGGGAGAGTTGCGTGGGGTGTTAGTTTTGTGATATATTATAGGGAGCAGAGAGGAGAAGAGAAGGGAGAACGCACCTGATGCATGTCCTCGCCGAGCGAGACGAGCTCGAGCGTGCCGCTTGATTTGTCATGCACGTCATCCCGCCACGCGGCCTCGGCGCGCAACACACTCAGCCCATCCTCCTCGAGGACCCACCCGCTGCGGCTGTCGACGCACAGCGCGGTGGCGGCGGCGGCGCGCGGACCGAGGATCAGCAGGCGGGTAATCGGTCCCTTTGCTCTCTCTTCTTTCAGTTCTGCTTTCAAATTCGGTGTCCGCGGGAGGATGTGCGCAGCAGGCAACACCAACTCTGGAATAATAAGCTGGCGATGATTCTCCTCGAGTGGGGGCACGTGCGGCGGGGACGCAGCGGCGGAGCTGAAGAAGAAGGAGCTGGAGACGGAGGGGAAGGAGGAGACGGAGGAGCCCGAGGCGGAGAGGGACGGGCTGTCGGGTGGTGACGGCGTCGGCGAACGGGACGGGGAGGACTGTCGGGTGTGGAGGGTGCGGATTGTGTCTGCGCCGGTGCTCATAGATCCCGCCTCCATCGCGGTAGGAGACAACGACAAAATGGGCCACGTGGGAAGGGAGATTAGATCGTGGCGGTGTTGATGGCTGTAGATCTTGGCAACCAACCGACGATCGGCGTGTCATCCAGACGTAAGTAACCCACTGAAGTCTTTCGCGGGCACTCGAATAAATGAATAAAACACTAAACTGAGGCCAATGTCACATCGCGGTCAACCGGACGATGTTTTCCCAAAACTAGTACTGTTGGTTGAACCAGCCTTGTATGTGTTGTTTACCGGGGCAGCGCACAAGCAGCGCATACAGTAAACTGTATACTTACAAATGAAACATCGAAGAAACAGCAAAAAATTGGCATGAGTTGAACAGAGAGGAGGCAGACTACAGCAGTCCTGTTATTGTACGTTCTTGTCCTATTTTTTTCACGCATTGCGTTGTCGTATCTACTTATACGTACTTGTAAGCTGTGGCATATGTCATCATTCAAGCTGTACACAGAGGCGGTAGTGAATCACCGATGGCGATTTCTCCCGGAATTTAATATTTTATCCTCCAGCCATGGCTGAACAATATATAAGATATTCTTCGGGATAGACCAAACCCGGCACTTACATACATTCAAGTGCCCGGCACATTCAGCCTACCGGCGGCACATTCGCGCCTGCAGCCGGTACATTCCCCGAATGTTCCACCCCTCAGCCCATGGCCGGCACATTCAGTCCTCCGCCGCATCTGTTCAACGATGGTGCCATCAATTCAGAGTTGATCCCTCTTGCACTGCCACTCCATGCTCACCACGCAGCTAGATGTGCAATAAATATACTAAGGCAGACAGACGGCGCATAAAAGTCATAGGATTGTAACAACATATGGGTGTATAAGAATCTATATAAATACCGATCACTGGGGAATTGACATTAGCATTGACGACATCTGCAGAATGATTCGGGCCCACCTTTTTAGATTTCTTTGCGCCGCAGCAAGTGGAACCAGAACGGCGGCATTGAATAAGAGGCTCCCCAGGCACTGCCACCACTGCCCTCGTTCGTCCAGGAGTGAGAAAGTCAGAGACAATTGTTTGGTGAACAGTTGCACTTACAATATCGCGAACTACGCCATCAAGTGCCCAGACTTTACCGGTTTTGGGGTCAATGATCGCATACAGTCGCTGAGATCAATGACAATGGCGGTGGGGGTACAGAAGATGGGGAGGATTGATGGAGCACCAGTAACGTACTCAATCTGTTCGACCTTCACTTTTCTGGTGATGCGGAAAGACCCGATGCGCACCATGGATGTCACACCATCCTCCCAGTGCGTGTTGGATTCTACCAGCGGAAACTTTTCCGCTGGGAGCGACTCATGATCATCTGAATGACCGTCGTCTAATGATGATTAGGAGTCAATTCATTGTATGAGCCAGAATTACGCACCAGAACATGGTTGGAAAGGACCTGATGAGATGGCTGTCTCATCGTCCGAACCTAATGATAAAATAAGCCAACAATTGCACGTAGTCAATAAATTCACCCACCAATTTCCCCAAGGAGCTGTTGAGAAACGGGGCTCGAAGAACGCGATGCTCCATGCATCAATACATCTGTGACTTCGAGATCAGATTCTGCGCTGTCCGACTCTGAATCCGACAGAAGCTCAATGATCTCATGACCACCGGCATTCAGTGTACGCGTCTTGACAGGCGCGTGAGAGGGGAGAATAGCTATCAATCCTACTTCCAGTTTTACCGAAACGGGGGTGGGAGGAGGTACTAAAGGAGGGTTTGCCTCGATTTTGACGTGAACAGGATTAGAGGGGAGATAAGCTGGGCTCGCGCGAAGAAACTCCCTCAGAAGTGTAACATCAATCCAGTATGAACCTTTCAAATGCGTCAAAAATGATTTATGGACTATGAAAACGAACGCACATGATTACGGAGAGCGGTCAGCTCACGGACTGAAATGGTATCGAGAAGACACCTGTCAGCTGCACTGAGATCTGTCCGTGTTGAGGCGGCGTTCGGATCACAAGTGGCGGGTGTCCCCAGGAAGTACTTCAGCGCCGGAAGATCAACCCATTCGTGGTCGAGGAACTGAGACACATTAGAGACGAGGAAACCTGGTTTATACATCTATCCGGGAGTTTATTAGGTAGGTAAGGCGCGTCACAGCAACACGTACATGGGTGCAGAAGTCCATCAATCAACGTGCCGAGACCCAGTCAATGAAGAGCTGCTCATCGGTGGTATGCTTTGAGTTGTGAGTGCCATCGGTGGACATTTTGACGCGTTTTTGACTCGTTGGCGGCCACGGGTGGTGGTAGTGGGAGGAGGAACAGAGGCGGGGCAAAAAAAAATCGGAAAAACGACACGTGTCTATTCCCATAATGATCAGTGCCAAGCCTGGCACATTCCCAAAATGGAATGTGCCGGCCTTTGGCTCACCCATGGCACATTCACTCAATGTGCCGCCTGTGCGCTG